GTTGTAACTACATACGTTGTAACTACAGACATTGTAACTACAGACATTGTAACTACAGACGTTGTAACTACAGACGTTGTAACTACAGACGTTGTAACTACAGACATTGTAACTACAGACATTGTAACTACAGACATTGTAACTACAGACATTGTAACTAAAGATATTGTAACTACAGATATTGTAACTACAGACATTGTAACTACAGATATTGTAACTACAGACATTGTAACTACAGACGTTGTAACTACAGACGTTGTAACTACAGACGTTGTAACTACAGACGTTGTAACTACAGACGTTGTAACTACAGACGTTGTAACTACAGATGTTGTAACTACAGACATTGTAACTACAGACATTGTAACTAAAGACATTGTAACTACAGATATTGTAACTACAGATATTGTAACTACAGATGTTGTAACTACAGATATTGTAACTACAGACATTGTAACTACAGATATTGTAACTAAAGATATTGTAACTACAGATATTGTAACTACAGATATTGTAACTACAGATATTGTAACTACAGACATTGTAACTACAGATATTGTAACTACAGATATTGTAACTACAGATATTGTAACTACATACGTTGTAACTACAGACATATCTATTATCTTTGTTCATCAGAAACATTAATAATATCAATGATATGACTAATCCACATAAAGTATTATACATTAATTATGTAAAAAATAAAGCCCCATAAACATTTTCTTGTTATACTAAATTATAATAACAAGAAATTAAGACAATTAACATCAATAACAATAAAATTTACAATAACAGTCTTACCAGAACATAACACACAGACCTAACCAATACACAAAACAAACTTTTTGTAAAGCTACATAAAAGCTGTATGAGTTAGCTATCTAACTTTTAAACTGACAACTAGAAAAGAAGACAACAGCACCTACTGTTAACTCTGGGGATTAAATAGTCCCTCTTACAATACACCCACTGTTAACTCTGGGGATTAAATAGTACCTCTTACAATACACCCACTGTTAACTATTGTGATTAAACAATCCGTCCTACAATACACCCACTGTTAACTCGGGATTAAATAGTACCTCTTACAATACACCCACTGTTAACTCTGGGGATTAAACAATCCCTCCTACAATACACCCACTGTTAACTCTGGGGATTAAACAATCCCTCCTACAATACATCCACTGTTAACTCTGGGGATGAAATAGTCCCTCCTACAATACACCCACTGTTAACTCTTGTGATTAAACAGTCCCTCCTACAATACACCCACTGTTAACTCTGGGGATGAAACAGTCCCTCCTACAATACACCCACTGTTAACTCTGGGGATGAAATAGTCCCTCCTACAATACACCCATTGTTAACTCTGGGGATGAAATAGTCCCTCCTACAATACACCCACTGTTAACTCTGGGGATGAAATAGTCCCTCCTACAATACACCCACTGTTAACTCTGGGGATTAAACAGTACCTCCTACAATACACCCACGGCCTCAGACTGTAGAACACATTTCTACAGCAGATACAGACTCAATTCTAGAGCCACAACAAAAACACACAATACACAAGTTCCATTAGAGAGTCGTAGAAATCGACAAGCAGAAAACACAACAACATGAAGGCCTTACCAGTGCACGAAATAGCTTCAACTCCTGGACCGTGGTACTCTACTATAGCTCCAGTTCCTCCTTTAACAGTTAATATATCAGCTACCTTAAGGATCACATCTGCAAATAAATAAATACTTTAAACATATACTCAAGTAGCTGTGTATAACTTACAGAGTGGAATGTTCTAAAGTAAAATTTTTAGTGACAAGTCATATCTCTGTAATTTAGCTTGCTCAGCCACACCACCAGGCACTAAATGTTGTGAACTGGGGCTCTTATCTCATAGTTTTCTATCTCTATAATTTAGCTTGCTCAGCCACACCACCAGGCACTAAATGTTGTGAACTGGGGCTCTTATCTCATAGTTTTCTATCTCTGTAATTTAGCTTGCTCAGACACACCACCAGGCACTAAATGTTGTGAACTGGGGCTCTTTATCTCATAGTTTTCTATCTCTATAATTTAGCTTGCTCAGCCACACCACCAGGCACTAAATGTTGTGAACTGGGGCTCTTATCTCACAGTTTTCTAATCAACCACATTAAAAACATTTATTTTAAAGAAAAGTGTTAAGATTCATATTTCTGTGTCTATATAAAAATAATATACTTTGTTGACTGGTAGAAATAAAAGATGACATTTAACTTTCAATATTCAGTGCAGAACCTGAAATGTCATCCTCTTTCTTTTTAACAGGTAATTGCAGTCCATAAAAGTTCTCAAACTTTAATACTATGCCTTAAGTTTCATATATTTTGTTTCATCTCTCGGATATCATTCACAGTGGAAAAAATATTTTTATACCTGAGAATCTGACCGCTTGTGTCTGTTTGCTTAAAATTCTCCTTTTCTAACTAAATTCACTCACTACTTCAATGCCTGCATGTAAACAATACTTCATACTTCTATAAACACGTATATGTTATAGTATTACCTTTTGGAGAGGTCCAACCAGACATTTTACCAGTAAGATGAACTCCAATGACCTTTGGACACATCAGTTCCCAAGGGATATTAGCCATAACATCCACAGCATCAGCACCACCCACACCAATGCATACGCCTCCCAACCCACCTGGTGTTAAGAGATGAAACTAAGATCAGTTTTCTTTTATGATAAAAACACAATGACTGACCATAATATGTAATAAATGTATTTGATTTTGAATTACACAACAGATTTATACAAATGTAAACATCACGGGTTTGAAACATGAAATATTTAATAACGAGTGGGCATTAAATTTTTAATAAGCTTTTCAGTAACAAATACAAATAATTAATTACGAAATGCTTAAAGATGTCGTACATATTTATAAACTAGTATTCATGTTTAGTTTTTATGTATTTAATATCTTAACCATCTACACGGAAGTTAAATGTTAAATATGACCTGGAAAATCAACCTTTAACGTCAAAAACTAAATTTATTTAGGTACATAAAAATGTTAATAGATGGTTTACTCTATAATTCCCATAAAAGTAACATGAACATTTATTATTTTTTAGTCAGCACATGACTGTTCCCAGATATGGAATATTTTCCGGATCTTGACAGCTATGTCCAATTCCTAAACAAATCGGACATTTTTGTAAAAGTACATAGGTGTGCACTTGACACTTTAAAGGCGATCACTGGTCCAGACAGGGCAAAATTTTGACCAAGTGTGAAATGAAGACACTTTTTTTCAATTCCTTGGAAACTTTATACGACAGTGTTCAGTGGCCTTTTCAGAAAAACAAAAGGCTTTCTGTAAACTGTATAAGTAAGACACTGCATTACCAGCCAATATCGTAATGAAAAGTTCAACACTCATGCTCGGATCAAGTCTTACTAAATGTACTACAGAACAGAAATACAATACATTTTTACAAATATACAATCTAATATTGAAATAAATTGGAGACACAGTTCTCCAAAAATACTCTAAAATTGGATGCTACTTTTATTTCTTTTCATTTATGGTAACTGTTACACTTAACTAAAAATACCAAAAACACGCTACCTCCATTTGGGGTGTGGCTGTCAGTACCAATTAACAGCACTCCCGGGAAAGCATAATTCTCCAAGATTATCTAGAAGGTAAATAAGTTATTTATATATCATACAAGTCAATGAAAGTTAATATGAAATCTGTTTAAAGTCTGTTATGAGTTACTGTAATAACAATTAACTTAATAGATTTTCTTTAGCTAATTCAGAATATCCAGTAAATGTATTATCATCATACACTGTCTGAAAATTTATATTTAAAAATAAAAATTAATTCTGTTTTAAAAAGTTATTACTTTTACTGATCTCTCAATATGGTTCCTATAGTTTGATAATCTTCACTTCAGTAACTGTTGTTTATAGAATCACAAGAAAAACAAAGTAGAAACACAATACCTTGTGTTATAAAACAACAGAAGGTAAAAACATGACACGTTGTGTTATAAAACAATGGCAATTAAAAACACTTCAATAACAGATGAATAATTCAACATAATGTAAACATCAATACCTGATGAATAATTCAACATAATGTACACATCAATACCAGATGAATAATTCAACATAATGTAAACATCAATACCTGATGAATAATTCAACATAATGTAAACATCAATACCTGATGAATAATTCAACATAATGTACACATCAATACCAGATGAATAATTCAACATAATGTACACATCAATACCAGATGAATAATTCCACATAATGTACACATCAATACCAGATGAATAATTCCACATAATGTAAACTTCAATACCAGTTGAATAATTCCACATAATGTAAACATCAATACCAGATGAATAATTCCACATAAATGTAAACTTAAATACCTGATGAATAATTCCACATAATGTAAACATCAATACCAGATGAATAATTCCATATAATGTAAACATCAATACCTGATGAATAATTCAACATAATGTAAACATCAATACCAGATGAATAATTCCACATAATGTAAACATCAATACCAGATGAATAATTCCACATAATGTAAACATCAATACCAGATGAATAATTCAACATAATGTAAACATCAATACCAGATGAATAATTCCACATAATGTAAACATCAATACCTGATGAATAATTCCACATAATGTAAATATTAATACCTGATGAATAATTCCACATAATGTAAACATCAATACCAGATGAATAATTCCACATAATGTAAATATTAATACCTGATGAATAATTCCACATAATGTAAACATCAATACCAGATGAATAATTTCTCATAAATGTAAACTTCAATACCAGATGAATAATTCCACATAATGTAAATATTAATACCTGATGAATAATTCCACATAATGTAAACATCAATACCAGATGAATAATTCCACATAATGTAAACATCAATACCAGATGAATAATTTCTCATAAATGTAAACTTCAATACCAGATGAATAATTCCACATAATGTAAACATCAATACCTGATGAATAATTCCACTCCCTGCATTCCAAAATCCTACTCCGTATTTAGAAGCAGCTGATCTAAGAAAACTGTACACCTCTTTATGAAGATCCTGTTAATACATGCAAGCAAGAAAGAAAAATGTAGTATAATTACAGTCAGATGTAAATTATTTTTAACAATCAAATTTATAAAATCTTGTGAAATTGTTCTAGATCAACAAACAGAAAATTAAAGATAAAACTCCAATCAATAAGCTTATTAAAATTGTTATAGTTACAGCAAATATTCTAATAAATTACTTAGTTAATCAATATTTCATAACAAATTCAATTGATTTTAACCTATAAAAGCTAAGGATTATCAAAATGTACAGATATTACTTGCATGTTAAATATTTCATGAAGAGTTAAGCCCTATAGTAACAAAAATAATTTCATAAATATTAATAATAATATTAATAATATAAGCCTCATTATTGTACCTTGGCTCTCGCCAAGTCTTTATCTCCTCCAATTTGTGCTTCGATTAAGTGATCACAATGGATTGTGGATGGCACTGCCACCTACAAAAGGTAATACAATATTATAATTTTTAATTAAGTAAGAGAAGTAAGTATCATTTTTATATCTATGTTAGAAAGCTACATATATATCTGTATTATAAAATTTTGTGATGGAAATGAACAGAAATAATTCATTAATTTTATTAACCCATCTTAAATAAATTAAACAGAAAAATAACAGAATATTTTATGAATATTGTAAATGTTGAAGAAACCCAAAAGTACTAGTAAGTATTAACAAGCTCAAAAGTACTAGTAAGTATTAACAACGCCAAAAGTACTAGTAAGTATTAACAACGCCAAAAGTACTAGTAAGTATTAACAAACCCAAAAGTACTTGTAAGTATTAACAGACCCAAAAGTACTAGTAAGTATTAACAAACCCTAAAGTACAAGTAAGTATTAACAGACCCAAAAGTGCTAGTAAGTATAAACAGACCCAAAAGTACTAGTAAGTATTAACAGACCCAAAAGTACTAGTAAGTATTAACAACCCCAAAAGTACTAGTAAGTATTAACAACCCTAAAAGTACTAGTAAGTATTAACAAACCCAAAAGTACTAGTAAGTATTAACAGACCCAAAAGTACTAGTAAGTATTAACAGACCCAAAAGTACTAGTAAGTATTAACAACGGAAAAGTACTAGTAAGCATTAACAAACCCAAAAGTACTAGTAAGTATTAACAAACCCAAAAGTACCAATAAGTATTAACAAACCCAAAAGTGCTAGTAAGTATTAACAAACCCAAAAGTACTAGTTAGTATTTTCATAGATTGCAAGAATAACTGAAACTAAGATTACCCAACGACACAAGGATGTTTTTTAAACTAAGATTACCCAACGACACAAGGATGTTTTTTAAACTAAGATTACCCAACGACACAAGGATGTTTTTTA